CTGCCAAAGGAGTTCAACTCAGGGATCCCATCCCAGTTGATCACTCCAAGACCATCTTCCTCACAGCCTCTCCGAAGTTTAACATAGCCATCTCCTCTGAACTTAAGAGAGAGGAAAGGCTGGAGAAGAAAAGGGAAGAACAGGCTGCTAAGGCCAAACCTGCTTCAAAGAAAACTACCAAAAAGCCCAAACAACCTGAGCAGTCACATGTTGTAAGAGAAGTCAGACAGAAGAAGAAAAGTGACAATCTGTCACTACCAGAGGAGGAAACAGTAGAAGAGGTTGCACCAGAGTTGCCCTCCCCAAAGGCAACCAGGAAATCTGCTGTCAGAAAACAGAAGCAGAAGAAAAGAAGAAAGATGGTTGTGCAGAGTGGTGACTCTGACAACTCAACCACTCAACCAAGGCAGAAGAAGAGGAAGACTAAAGTAATTTCACCTGCCAAGGATTCAGCAGTTCAGGGGGAACTTGCACCAGAATATGGCACTCTACCAGAGACTTACCCAGAATCTGCACCAGAGTTGCCAAACTCTGCTCTCTCACCAGAGCGTGAAGCCTAACCAGAGATGGACCAAGAAACCGACTTCAACATCATTCTGCAAAAGCAGTTTGACAGAGTCCTAGCTTGGAGAAGATGGAGAATGGGACCTCTTCAACAAATCATCCAATACTTTGATGCCTATGAAGAAGAAGAAGCTGTTGTTCTTCACTGGGTAGGCACAGATGATGTGTCAAAATGCTTCAATCTTACCTTTCTGATTTCTGTCCTACAAAAGAAGAAAGACAGATATCAAGGTAAAGCTCCAACATCTGACCTTTCTCCAGAAAGGCATGTCAAAGCCTTGGAAGAAGAAGAAATGGAAGCATTTGATACTTGGCTGATGGAGAAGAAGAGAAAAGAATCAATGATCAAATTTCGCCATAGTGCTCTTGAGGAAGGAGAACCATCCACTGCGAATGACATTGCTCTGACTATGGAAAATCTGATCAAGGAGTGGAGAGAATCCGTGTTCTCTAAGATTGTTCTTGAGGCAATTCCTACACCTCCTCCTTCCCCTCCCCAATCTCCTATTACTCTACCCTCACCCTCCAAATCTCCATCTAAACCTTTATCCCCACCTCACCAGAAAACCCCTTCACCAGAACAGAAAACCTCACCCTCCACCAGAACACAATCTCACCAGAAACCCAACTCAAGACCCTCTTCACCCTGCAAACAACCCTCATTTACCAGAAATCGATCACCTTCACCTCCTCCATCTCCCTCACACCAACCTACTCCTCAACCCATAATTCCTTTTCCCCAGAACTCACCTCCTCAGAACCCCTTACCAGCATCCAAATCTACCTCACCTCAGAGATCCTCACATCACTCTGCAGCCTCTACACCAAAGAAGAAACCTATCTTCAGGGTTCCCTCCTCATCTAGTGACAATGATGGATTCCTCACCTCCTCCATTGCTGCTGATGAAACCTCCAAAAGGAGAAGGACACCCCCCAGAGTTCCTTCCCCTCCACCATCCAACAGAGCTCCTCCATTACCAAAAGGCAGAGGATTGGAAATGCCTGGATTTACACCTGAAGAACCCCAAATCCCCTTCAACCAGTTTGTGAAATCTGCTGAAGCATTTGGTGGTATATTGGTTCATGATCTGAGCAAGATTATTGAATTAAATGACAAACAACATGAAGAACTCACCCATACCAATCTGCAAATCACTATAGGATTTCAACATCTGTCAGATAAAGTTACTGCACTAACAGAGAATCTGCACAACTTCATGCATTCGTCTACCTCGAGGATTGATTCTGTCTCCAGAGATGTTAGTGGACTCAACTCTGTTCTCCACTCTCACTCTCAAGCTCTGCTTGCCCAGAACCAGACAATCAACAAGATCTCAGAATCTGTTCACATTCTTCAGAAATCTGCTGATAGTTCCTCCCAGAAACTCAACATCTTACACTCCCTCTGCAAGGAACATCAAGAGAAAGGCCTAGCTCTTCTCAAATCTGACAAAGAAAGGTACCAGAAGATGGTGCTCCTAGAGGTCAGCACCAGGGATCTTCAATCTGCAGTAGACAAGCAACAAAGCCTGATTGAAGGACTTGCCTCTGTCACTCAAACTCTGCCAGAAACCCTGGATGAAATCAGAGATGCTCAAGCCTCTGAGTTCTCCAAGATTGAACTTCTCCTTGGTGATCTTTGTGATGCCAAAAAGGGGGAAGATACCAGAGAAGAAGAAGGACCCAGCACCAGAACTCTTTCTATCAGAGAACCCTCCTCTGTTGATCCTACTCCTTATTTTGATGCAACTAGAAAGAAAAGGCTAGCTGCTACAGGCACCAGACCCCCACCTCCTCCTCCTAGAAGCTCAAAGAAAAAGCCTTCATCCTTTTCATTTACTGATCGGATGAAGAGTGGTCTGTCAAGGTCAGATAGAGTTCAATTTGAACAGATGAGGAAATTGATGACTCCTCTTCAAAGAGAGAATCTGTTCATGGACAGTGATGGACTTGTCCAGATCAACCATGGTGGTTCGATCCAAGAAGCTGAGATGTGGTACGGAATGAAGATTCTGAATGGCAAGAATTCTGCAGAAGCTGTCAGAAACTATTTGGACTGCAAAATTGCACCCCATTGGGCTGACTATCAGAATCCGAGGGATCTAGCCTCAATCAGAGCAAAGGTAAGTGCTGAACTAGAAAGGATTGACAGAGCAGGACCACAGGTAGATGAAGAAGATCTCTAAATTCTCTACCTCTGACTCTGTAATGCTTTACTTTCTCTAACAGTTTAATAAGATACCAACTCTGCCCCTCTTTTTGCGTGGCTTATTCAACTATCTGTTCTTATTTTCTTTCTTGTGCATATTCTGTTATCGTATTTGTTTATTGCTATCTGATTGTACCGCATACTCTTACTATCTTCCTATGCTAAGTTGCCCACCAAGATTTTAATGAAAAGTTTTTAACTTTATTTTTTTATGGTGAAAGGCACTTCTCTGGAAATAGTTAAAGGGTTTTGGCATCATCAAAAAGGGGGAAATTGTAAGGAATAAATGTATTTAGATTTTGATGATGCTAGGTTTATTAGAATTTGAAAGTACCCCATTAGAAATTGTGTATTAGAATTTCTTTTGTAAGTTTTAGCTTAGTCTGTCTACCAGAGTTCCATCTTGCCTCTACCAGAGTTGCTCCCAGAGTTGCTCACCAGAGAAGCCATCAGAAACTGGTCATCAGAAAGATACCAGAGTTGGCAACAGAGACGGACTTCAGAGATTGGACCAGAGAACCTCTTCAGACTCTGCTGAATCCACCAGATTCCGGAAGGCCTTCCAACGGTCGTTAAACTAACGGGAAATCCCCTAACGGTTACAAACCTTTCAACGGAAGCATGACACTGTACACGCATTAAATGCACATTTAATGCTGTACGTACGAAGAGATATTTAAAGCTGATGATTGACCATGCGAGTATCTTTACGCCCCCAAAATAGCAAGTCGGAGGACCAAACGGTCAAGTCAACAGTACATGCATTTAATGAAGCTGTCTTCTACACTCCAACGGGAAGACTGCTCCCAGTATAAAAGATACACTCTGAAGAACTAAGAAGATAACTTTGCCAAGATAAATTTGCGTAAACAACCTTCTTGAGATTCAAACTCCATTTCTAACAAGAAAAGGCCACAGTTGGAAGATAAACTCTCCTATCCTTCATCCAACTAGCAAAAGGCAAAGTTACTCAGTTCTTCAACACTTCGAGAGCTTCATATACTCATCTTTTGTGAAGAAGCAACGTTGGAGAAAACTGATTCTATATCAAACACTTCTTGAAAAAGAAGGGACGTCTCAAATTAGCTGGAGTAAGTGAAGTGGGGATACTTCAAGAGACTCAGTGAAACGAGACCAGCCATCAGGAAACAGGACTGCATCCCGGGTGGCAACTAGACTTGAAGAAGACGAGGAGTGCTTCTTAAGCTCTAGGGACTAAGGCGTTGTAAACTGTTGTTTTTGCAAGCTTAGTGGAACAGTGGACTAGAGGAACAAGTTGTTCCTTGAACCACTATAAAAACCCGGTGTCATTTACTTTAAGCTTTTAAATACTGCACTTAAGATTCTACTGACTAACTCTTAAGGTTGGACTCTGTGTCCAGCAGATCTTCCTTCAGAGTTATCAGAAAGGCACTTTGCCTTAGCTTTCTTCTAGAGGCTACCCGGACAGAAACTTATCCGCTGCCTGGTCTAGTTCTGCCATCAGAACTTGACCATCTCTGTCACCAGATTTCGACCATCTCTGATAAGTCAGACTTAACTTGGAGAAAAGTTTAAATTCCTGAACAGTCTATTCACCCCCCCCCCCCCCTCTAGACTGTTCCCATTACAAACGGGACCAACAGTTATATTGTCAATAATTATGGATCCGCGCGGTATGAAAGCACTCTGACTCTCCCCCACCAACGAGTCCTTTGAGCCGGTTAGCAATAACTTTAGAAAAGATTTTAGGGAAAAGTACGGAAAAAATACTTGTGATTGGGCTCGTTTCAGATAGGATCGTGCATTTCACAAGAGAGTCACACCGTTAAAAACGCCTGAGAAAGACGACTAATAGTAATTCTGATTTTCAAAAGTTGAAAAATAATGAAAGGTGCGGCTCGTGAAGATAATTTTATTATTGGAAGACGATGATGTATTAATCTTAGTTTGATCATTTTATTCAAATAAAAAAAAGTTTGAATGAGGATGAGAATGAGAGTAAAATTTGTGTTTTGTCCTCTTTTGAAATGTCTCACGCGGCGGCGTGTCCCTTCCGGCAGACATGAAAGAAAGAAATGGGTATGCGCATTTAGTTGTGGGCGGACCAGATTTGTATCTACCAAATCGCAGCCCCAAGTGGGCCTTCACTTCCCTCATTTATCGTCACTTTCCTAAACTTAGATTTTCCGCAGTTATTATACCCCGTATATAATAATATATAATAATATAATAATAATAATAAAAGTGACAAAGAAAGAAAGAAGTGCAGGATTGAGAGATGGCTCTCCCGCAATGTCCATTCCCATCATCATCATCATCTTCTTCTGCCGCACTTTGTGTACACGGCTCATCTCTCAGCCGCACCTCTATCTTTCCCCACCACTTGAACTTCAGGTATAGGCACATTCCAGATTTACCCTCGACTGCCCGGATTAGGACCACCTGCTCTGCTGCTTTCTCTGCCTCGCCCAATTTATCCATAACCTCTTTTTCTCAGGTAATAGTAATACTAATAATAGTACTAATAAATATTTTACTTCTGATTTTCTTAAATGAAATCCCAATTTTAGTCTTTTAGGCTTGCTGGGCATCGTTGACCCCTGTTTAAGAAAAGGGAGGAAACAGTTTGGGGAATAGACTAGTACCATGGTTGCTTGGTCTGGCCTTAATTACAAAGTCTGTTTAATGTTTAAAAAAATATTGATTTACTCTCTTGGATTGCCCCCCTTGATGTTGTTTAGTTTGCAGAGTAATTCTTGATTTACTTTCTTTGGTTTTGGATTGTGTGTAAGTTGATTGAAGCTTTAATAAGTGGAAAAGACTTGACTGAATCTGAAGCTGAAGAATCTCTTGAGTTTCTGTTGGATGGTGCAGACGAAGCTCTGATTAGTGCATTTCTTGTTCTCTTGAGGGCTAAAGGAGAAACATATGAAGAAGTAAGTACTACTCTCTCATTTCTTTAATCACTGCCTAGTGTCTACCTTAGGATTTTAAATTTGTTTTAAAATAGCTACTTTAGATAGAATATCAAAAGAGCATTAGTTGTCTATGTTCCAGACTTTCCCTTCTTCTTCTTCCATAAACACCGCATAATGCTTTAAAACATACAGTGACAAATAAGGGAATTCTAGATAATATGATAATACTTTTTGTCTTATCTTTTTAATACTTTTTTATCTTTTTAGTCAACCCTGGACTCTTTTGGGACTAAGGCTTGGACGTTGTTGTTGTTGTGTTGTTGTGTTAACATAGACATCCATATGCAACGATTTACATTATGAGGATATGGTAGTCATATTATAACTGTTGTGCTGGAAGACTAATGCTTTGGTAGTGAACTAATGGGGTTAGGTGGTGGGAATGGCAAGGGCTATGATAAAACAGTGTAGAAGAGTTGAAGGATTAGAAGGCGCAGTTGTTGACATTGTTGGCACAGGAGGTGATGGCGTAAACACTGTAAACATCTCAACTGGCGCTTCCATTCTTGCTGCTGCTTGTGGTGCCAAAGTTGCTAAGGTCTGACCAATGCCCTTTTCCCCTTTTAATAGAGCATTTAGTGATGCTCTTTCTTTCTTTCCCTGGTTAACGGTGGTTTGGAACCGGGTAAAGTTAGATAGATGTTCAAACTCATTTTTATTTATGTATATCCTTTATAAAAGATGGATGACATTTTTCGGAGCATTCTGACATATTTTATTTCCCCTTCATATTTTGTGCAAGGTAAAACCAAATATTAAAATTTTATTCTCCTTAGTATCCCCTTCCCTTCCATTTCCTGCCTTCTAAACATAGCCCCTAAGGGTTAATTGATGGGAGTCAAAGCTACTTTGATTTCCTTACAGCAAGGGAATAGGTCAAGCTCATCTGCTTGTGGAAGTGCTGATGTACTGGAAGCTCTAGGGGTTGCTATTGAGCTAGACCCCGAGGTTCGTATTATTCAGCTCATATATATACACACATAAATACATACATGCATGCATGCATGCATGCATACATATGTATGTATGTACGTACACACATATATAAGGGAAAATTCAAATGAAAAGACGTCTTCCCTTGAAAAATAAGAATCAGACTACAATAATGGATGGATTAGATCATTTTATATTTAAAAAATGAGTGCAGTTATTTGTAATCATAAATAAGTGCAGTTCAAATGTAAAACATATAATGACCAAAGCGAACCGCGTCTCTTTTTATTTGAACCCTCCCTTATATATATATATAGAGAGAGAGAGGAATGTTCAGGTCCGAACATTCCCCGTCCGAACACCGTCCGAACAACGCCGTTCGGGGCGGTTCCCGGTGGAATTTTTTATGAAATTTTTATGGTATGTTATTCATCAAGTCTAGTTTATCCACAAAAAATTTCAGCTCAAAATTCGATCGGGAATGCTTTCAAATGATTTTTTGAAGTTGACTGTATCAAATTATACATAGAAAAACGCAGTCAACATCAAAAAATCATTTGAAGGCCTTCCCAATCGAATTTTGAGCTGAAAATTTTTGTGGATAAACTAGACTTGATGAAGAAAATACCATAAAAATTTCATCAAAAAATTCCACCGGGAACCGCCCCGAACGGCATTGTTCGGACGGGGAATTTTCGGACCTGAACATTCCTCTCTCTCTCTCTATATATATATATATGTATATATATATGTATATGTATATATATATGTATATGTATATATATAACTAGCACTATATGCCTATATCCATACTTCTTGATGCATCAGTCAAAATAGTTACTATGGAGGTCTGCTTATTACTACTTATTGTACAAAAGGAAAGGAGTCTGCTATAGTCACTCTAGTACTATAAATTTGTTGTATTTATGTGTATAACCATACAAATCTTCTTGATTTGATATGTTTCTCAATTGTATAGCACTAGGACAGATTCTTTCCTGAGCTCCACACTCACAACAGCCTATACATGTAACTCTTGATTGTGAATAGAAAGCATTCAGACATTTGTTCAAGCTTGTCATTTATCCATATATCTATCATGTGATCTTCAGTCTTCACGACTTTTCCACATAGTTTTCGTTATTCTCATCTCAATTTTTATTTATTTATTATTTTTTATAAACTAAAATAAGAGCTGCACGGGGCAGATCCCTGCTGTTATTCTACGTTGAAATGGTGTCATAAGATTGACTTTCAGACTTTCAGTTAATTCATGCTGCTTTATCTGCAATGGCAAGTTACAAAAACTTTTATGATGGAGAAGACAAAACAAGCATGTCGGTTGACGTCAGTTATTTATTAGTTTTGCCTTGTATGTGGATATTTAATGCCTTGTGTTGTGCTCACAAGGCTCAGTGTTCAGATCAGTCTCCATGGGGGAACAGGCCAAAGAAAACATGAGTTAGATATCCCCTTCCCTGTACCTACTCCTCTTAGCCCATTTTACTTTTCCATGTAACTTAACTATTCATTAGTCAAATTGCATCTTCTTTCTTGACTTCACTTCTTTTATAATTAAATTGTTATGCTACCTGTTTTGTACAACTTTTGTTGTCGTTATAAATGTGAAAGTGTTATTTTCTTATATTAAATTGTAAAGAATGTAAAATGGGATGGATGGAGCATTTTATTTGGCATATTACAATGCAAAGATCGGATCATTATACAATGAAGCTCATGACAAAAGTACAAAATTCATTCCCCATGACGGTTATATTTGGTTGGATATGGTGGACGACTAGTTCTCTAATCATGACTACAAATAAAATCAGGGGGTAAAAAAGTGTGTAAATGAAGCAGGAATTGGATTTATGATGTCCCCCATCTACCACCCAGCAATGAAGATTGTTAGTCCTGTCAGGAAAAAACTAAAAGTCAAGACAATATTTAACATCCTGGGCCCAATGTTAAATCCAGCCAGAGTTCCTTTTGCTGTTATTGGAGTCAGCAAAGAAAACCTTGTAAGTTCCCTACTACACCCTCTCCCCTTTCCTCTTTTTATATACTCCGTATATACTCTCAGAATAAATGTCATCTTACAAGAAATCTTGCAGATTAAACAATATTATACTACCCCTTACTAACATCTAATTACTATTGGTGATCAAATTTGCATAGAGGTCTTTAAAAGGGGGAAATGATGGCAAAATAGTGGCAAGTATTGTCTTGGTTTTATAAAAAGACCCAATCTGTAAACCTAAAATGTCCTCCATATGAAACTTGTTGTGAATCCATGGCAGTTTTCCCCCCTTCTAGCATCCATACTTGATATATATTCGCCCATACACACAAAAAAATAAACTGAGTGAAAAGACTTCTATGCAAAGAAGAAATGTAAGCTTAGGATGGATCACCTTTTTTTCCTGAAAGAATAAATTCTCGCATTTTAGGTCTACAAAATGGCTAAAGCAGCTCAACGGTTTGGCATGAAAAGAGCATTGGTAGTTCACTCAGAAGGCCTAGATGAGATGAGTCCTCTTGGTACAATTTTATTCATGATTGTTATTTCAAGCATAAAATACACACTAGTTGATAGTATCACTCTTTGTGTGAGTTGTAGATGTGCCAGTAAAACTCTTGTTTTGTCAACTTTTATCTTTTATTTTTATGAAAGTGCTATATGGAAACAGGAAGGGGCTCAATCCTTGATGTTACTCCGACTAAGATTGAGAAATTCCCATTTGACCCATGTAAGTATCTTCCCACCATGCACTCTGAAGTCACATTTTCTTGCAAGGTGTCATATATATTACTCTTACTAAAACAATGTTATGTTTCTGATACAACAATGTTACGGACCAGTTTGGTAAAGATCGTTTGGCTGAAATGGCTTGTGGATGGCTAATCTGTTCTGAAGTAGAAAGTGTTCGATTGCATTTATCGCAACCAAATATTAAACTCAAAAAAGTTACTTATTCTGCAAATAGGCAGAATGAGGCTCCATTTAGGAGCCATTTATGGCTTTTTCCACAGGACAGACAGAATTAGCGTAATAACTAGTTTTTGACTACTAAACAGATTCTTGTTTGGATGGAATGGATGGAAAGCTTTTACTTTTTGAATTTTAACTAAATTGGGCCATTTCAGCCTAATTATCCCTACCAAGCTTGGTCCTAAGCCAAAAATGGCTACCAAACGGAACCCGCAAGCAGGACTCGTCTGTTATCATATTGATTGATACAACGACGAGAAACTAATGTAACCATTGGATAGTGGATTTTGGCATTCCACGCTGCACTTTGGAGAGCTTGAAAGGTGGATACCCGGACTACAATGCTATGACACTTAAGCGAGTTCTATGCGGCGAAAGTGGACCAATTGGTGATGCATTGGTGATTCTCTTCATCTGTTATGTTCATTGATATACAATTAAGAACAATGTTAGCTGATCAAGTTGGTGCTAAATATCATTTATCCAACTTGTCATGTCCTAGGGAACCAATGTAATCCTAAAGGTCCATTTGGATCACGCAAATTACAGGGGAAGAAAATAGAGAGAAATATTTGGAATGAATGAGAATTTTGGGGGAAATAAAAATTAAAAAGATAGGTTCAAAATCCTAAAATTTATTTTAGATATTTCATATTTGATCAAGCTTGTTCATTTATTTATTGACTAATTTATTTCTACTATGTAAAGAATTCTAAGAAGTATAAACCTATGAAATGTTATTTGTCTAAATAGTTATATTTTATCTTACTTTTCATTTTTCAAGGTAAAACCAAACATAAGAATACAAAACCCTTTCCCTAACACTTTCTGAGTTCCAAACACAGCCTAAAAGTATCCAATTTATGGTTGTGCGAAAACTTCTCTCTTCTCCTTTTTTCTACAAATAATTTAAAAAATGTGGGTTTCAGGTGTTAAATGCAGCTGGAGCTCTTTTTGTCAGTGGACTTGTAGAAAGTTTGGATGAAGGAGTGAGTCTTGCTCGAACAACATTACTCTCAGGCAGAGCTTTGGATGCTCTCCATCTTTGGATTCAAGTTTCAAATGTAATGACCCCTTTGTCCGGCCCTGCTATAATAATTGCTTTACATTTTAGAAGACTTTCTTTTTTTAAAGCTCACATATTTGGGAATCACCCTAAATAAGACTAAAAGTGTTCCTATATTTCAAAATAGAACTATGATGATGTTTTATTCCTAAAGTGTTTTGATAGAACTAGATTTTAAACATGACAATATTTTCCAAGCTTGACAATAATTACTCCTATTTTGGGAATAAAAAACATGGTGGTCCTATTCTTGAATTCTCAAACATCTTTACTCCTATTTCGGGGATTTTCCATACATATTTACTCTCTTTTTCTATTTTTCCCCATTCAGAATGTCAAAGAGTCGTCACATCTCAAGAGTATAAGCATAGCTCCCCACTAAAGTGGGCCCCGCTAACTCTTAACGAATTTTACAACGGCGGTCACTCCTAATGCTTGGCCAGCTGAGGAGAGAGTATCTTGATCCTGCTTCTTTTCCTTGGGAATGCCATCATAATAAAAAATAATATTAGCCTTATATATTTTTTGGTACATGGGAAAATAATATTAGCCTTTATTATCACTGTACAATTTATAGAGAAATGGTTTTCAAGGGTTATTAGTAGTTTATTACTGTACATTTATTTCTAGTGCTATAAATTGTTGGGTTAATGGTAGGGGTGGATCGGTTTCGGTTCGGGCCCGGTTCGGGCCTGGGCTCGGCCGGGCCTCGGTTCATGAAAGGGGAGGCCCAAAACCGGCCCGGGTAACCCCGGGTCCGGGCCGGGCCAGGCCTCGGTTTTTATATTTTTTTTTGGCTTTTCCTAATTAACCCCCAACCCTCCCTCCTCACCCCCAAACCACCCCAAACCACCTCAAATGGCCCATCATACCCAGCCCAACCCAAAAACTTAAAAAAAATTCAAAAAAAAAAAATAAAAAAATAATAATTTGGCTCGGACCGGGCCCGAACTGGCCGGGCCGATTCATGATTTAGGAGGCCCGGGCCCGGCCCGCCTACCTCACCGGGCCGGGTGGCCCGAACCGGGCACCAACCGGGTCACCGGGCCGGTCCGGGCCCGCACAGTAGCAGGTCGGTCCGGTTCCGGGTCTGTTGGCCCGGCCCGAGTCCACTCCTAGTTAATGGGTCCAGTACAGATCGGCCCATTACCCTTAGGATCTTGAGGTCATCTGTACCCAAAATTGGTAGACGGTCGGCTTCTGACGCATTTTGCCTAACACAGGCCAGAATGCCAGATAATGTATGGGCCGTGCGGATCCATGGCCTTTTACATCAGTGAACCCAAGCTGGTCGTAGAGAGGACGCTTGTCCACCCAGGGGCGTATCTAGCGTGGGGGCAGGGGGCAGCTGCCCCCACTCAACCCCCACCTTACCCCATTATATATATATCAAATTTTATTTGTGTGTATATATATATATAGGGAAGAGATCAAATAAAAAGAGGTTCTCCCGTGCAAAGTGTGAACGATTGCACTTTTGGTGTTTCTGTTGCCCTTTTTCGCGATGGCAAAAAACTTCATTTTAATTACGAAATTGCCATCGCGCTTTTGATCAAATTTAGTTCACTTTTGGCTCATTTTGAGTCATTAGATCTGAAAATGAATGCACGAGATTAATTCTCACTTTGCATGGGAAGACCTCTTTGTATTTGAACCATCCCATATATATATATATATATATATATATATATATATATATATATATATATATATATATATATATATATATATATATATATATATATATATATATTATTGTCTTATATACAGCATAATAATGCTTAAAGTCCGAAAATGACAAAGCTAGCATACTAGCCGACTGGATAGAGTGCTACACAGTATTCTCTTTGGTCACGGGTTTTAAAATTTGTCTAAATTTAAGATTTCAATTAAAAAAAATTAATTTAGCTACTAAATGATACCAAGTATCTAATTTTAATAACATCTTTTCACACTTAATATTAAAACTTGTTTAATTGTAACTTAAAGGACTTATAATTACATATTTTATCCAATTCTTTTATATATTTGGTTTTGTACGTAATAAATAAATTATTTAAAATAATTTATTACGGAGTATTTTGTAATTTCAATCACATCTTTTCTCACATAGCATTAAAACATACTTGTTTATTTGTAACTTAAATTAGTTATAAACTTATAAATAAATATTTCATCTGTTTCTTATAAAAATTTATTTTATTTTTAATAAATTGTGGATTTTTTAATTAATATTTCTTTCCTAAAAATTGTGTGATAATGTTAGTGTAAATTTGCCCCCACTGGCCGAATTTTCTGGATACGCCACTGCGTCCACCCACAACAGATACGAATGGAGGCTCATCTTTCGCCCATCAGGGATCCCCCAACTTGGCCCCTCAGGACATTCGGCTGAGGTTATGGCGGGAAAATAAGATATTGGCAGGAAAAACATTAAATGCAGTAAATTTGGTAGTTGGGAGCTAGCCATCCACAAGACCACAACCCTCCACGTCATCAACATCCCCTACCCCTTGTTAGTATAAAAAGTAGCATTTGTTTTATTGTAAGAGGTTGGCAGCTTATCACTCTTAGAAAATAACAATTGTATCAGCTCATGGTAGAGCAGTAGACGAACGGTCTTGGAGCTTTGTAGTGAAGTGTGTTTTATACGGATCTTTATTACCATCGAATAAGATACGACCCACTTACTACGACTATTTTGACTCATTTCTTGCTTGTTTAATAACTTAACTCACCAAAACCTCTGTTCAAGATCCAAGGTACATGTTGGGCCTTTGGGTTGACGTAAATAAACATCAACACAAATCACAAATAATAACACAAATGTCAGTCTCTGAAATCACCAACAATTCTAATTGATCTTAATATTGCATTAAAGGTACATATAAACAAATAATAGAGGATTTTCCAAAAATATTACTAAATAAAAAAATTGAAGAAAAAAGTGACTAAAGTTTAATATGAGTGCAATTTCATGGTTACTATGGTATATACACTTAACATGATCGTGATAACTAAAAGTTACTAAGTCACTTTTTTATCCACTGCTCTTATTTTATTCATATATTATGAATTGTTTCTAAATAATATTAGTATATTACATTGATTTATATTAAACATAATTATTTCTAGTTTTGACTGATTCGGGCCGAGCCCGACTTTTCGGGTTATGTCTGAGTGTTTTTTATCCGGCGCGTCGAATAAGAAAAAACCTGAACTGAGCTAGGGTCGGTTTTCAAGTTTCAATTCGATTCAGTTTTTCCCACCTCTAACTACGATTTGTTGATGTAAAATACTTAGATAATCTCGATCATTCATCACACAAGTGTGCTCTTTAGTGGGCATGCAAGTGTGCTCTTTAGTGAGAATGTTAGCGTGTTCCATATATTTTCTCATAACAACAATGGAAGAAAGATCAAACATACCCATGAAATATACCCTTGAACTATGTGTTGAGAACAAATATATCTTTTAATTTGTATTCTTAATTTGTGTTAGAATAGTTGAACCTAAAAAGTTGTCAATGTAACTTGAACTCTATGAGTATATATTATATACTCAACTACTCCGTCCGTAGGGGTGGACTGGGATGGGCCAGCCCAACTCGGGACTAGGCCCGCTACTGTGCAGGCCCGACCCAGCGCGGTTGACCGGGATCGGGACCAAGTTCGGGCCCCGGCCCGAATGAAGAAGCAGCCGGTATATCGGATTGTCAATTTTAAAACAACAAATACATGTATACACATTAAATACTTATGAATCCATAATTTTCATATATTAATGGAAAAAGGGGCAAATAAGCCCACGTACTAACAAAAAAAGGTCAAATAAGCCCTTATATAGGAGGCTATGTCCGGCCGTCGTCATTTGGGCGGTTCCCGGTGGATATTTTTGATGAAATGTTTTGAGCATATTATTCATTGAGTCTAGTTTACTCATACCAAATTTCAGCTAAAACTTCAATGGGGAAGGCATTCAAATGAATTCTTGAATATAACTGCGCAGTTAAAAGCGCAATTATCTTCAAGAATTTATTTAAATGTTTTCCCAATTGAATTGTTAGCTGAAATTTGGTATGAGTAAACTAGACTTAATGAATAAAATTCTAAAAACAGTTCATCAAAAAATTCCACCGGGAACTGACCCAAATGGCGACGGGCGAACTGAGCCTCCTATATAAGGGCTTATTTGACCTTTTTTGGTTAGTACGTGGGCTTATTTGCCTCTTTTTCCTATATTAATTAACTTTATACGTATTGACTAACACTTCCCTATGGTAGTAGTAGGAGTAGTGATGCGGATGATGGTGATTGATACCTCACCGAAACACTGTTAGTGTTATCGAGAGAGAAGACAAAACTAAGAAATTTACACGATAGAGAAATCAATACCAAGACCAGAACCGATAGAGATACCTTGGACAATGACTATCTTTTACATAGTAGCTTGTGCTTTCTGAAAGGTCCAGTAGTCTATCTCATGATACTCAATTTCTCTTATTCTTTTAAGAAGAGAAACATTTTCAGCCTCTAGTTTATCTCTTTCCTCAATGAGAAGATTGAGTTTGACCTCAACTTCTCTTCTTAGATCAGAGATTTCAACTTTTAGCTTACTGTTTTCTTCTTTAACCTAAGAATAAGTGGTCTGGATGTTTCTAAACTCTTCCAAAAAGGCTGACATTGATTCAGCTGTAAAGATTGTGCTTATCGAGGAGAAACTAGATGTAGAAGAAGAAGATACCTCATCGTCAGATTATGCCATCAAGCAGATGTCATTGTTTTGTGAGTAGAGGCAACAAAAGGCTTCATCTGATTCTAAGTCAAGACTGGACCCCGTTTCTGATAGAGGGTCCTTCTGTGGTATCTCGGTCACCAATGCCTTCCTTCTTCTGACACTTGACACTGTGATCATACTTCATGTCACCTTCCTAGCCTTTTGGACACTATTGGATGAGGACAGTTGACCTTGAAGTGACCAGGTTGGAGACAGTTGTAGCAGAGAAGCTCACCATTAGTATCATAAGACTTGGATTTCTGGAAAGGTCTTCTGCTTGAGGATGGGCTTCTGCTATCCTTTGGCCTCTTCATGAACTTCCTGAACTTCTTAGCAAAAGCAGCCATATATTCATCAGATAATAAAATTGAAGGGTCAAAATCATTTACCTTAAACGTGCTGGCAGTTAGGGCAGCAATTGTCCTTTATCCTATTTCTTCTTCCTTTTCTTCCTTCATCTCAAACTCATAAGATTTGAGATCTGAAATGAGCTTTTCTATATTGTATGTTCTGAGATCCTTGTTATCTCTCATAGTTGTGACCTTCATCTTCCATTGTGAAGGTAAACCTCTCAGGACCTTCAAATTGATCTCTTTGGAAGTCAAGTCTTTCCCAAGCTCAGAGATTTCTGTTGTGAGGGTGATCAGACGTGCATGCATTTCTGCTATGCATTCGTTTGGCAGAAGTTTGAAGTCTTCAAACTTCTTCATTGCAATTATCAGTTTGTTGTCCTTTTCTTGCTCATCTCTAGCACCAATGGGAATAAGTGTATCCCATATTTCTTTAATTAGCAGTGGTGCACTTCTTGATCCTTGTGAAGTAGCGGTCATCAATAGCTTTGTAAAGTATGTCCTTGGCAATATTGTCAAGGTTATATTTCCTTCTTTCTTCAACAGACCATTCTGATCGTGGTTTACTGATCATCTGTGGTTCTGTTCCACCTACAACATAGGCTGAATTTGTCTTCATGAACTCAACACATGGTCCAATTGGTAGTACTTCCCACATTTCATCATGTAGGGCACAGAGATGTGCTTTCATACTTATTCTCAAGTCACCAAACTTCATAGCTGAAAACATAAGATTCTTGGAAAGTATGTTATTCATGATAAAGATAAGGAGAGTATCAAAAGAGGTAAACAAGTGGATCTTTTTTCATAAGGTAACCTAAAAGATTACAAGAACAGGAGTCTCTGATACCACTTGTTGGTCCCGGTTAAATAGAGAAACAGTTTAAGGGGAGGGGGGTTGAATGGATTGTTCTGGTTTTTCGAGTACTTGCAAGACAACACTTTTGTCTCACAGAGTTGGTCTTGTTCGTCACAGAACAGACCTGCAACGGAAGGTAGTTCTAGTCGGGTTGTCTCACGAAAAACACCAAGGCAGACGTGCCTTTATGTTTTCTCTAAGAGAAAGATCTGTTGAACACAAAGTCCAAGCTCTTTTAGAGACGAATAGTTGAGAACCTATAAGCAAGAAATAAAGGTAGTAAGTAAATGGCACCGGGGCTTTTCTAGTGGTTCAAGGAACAACTCGTTCCTCTAGTCCACTGTTTCACTAAGCTTGTAAAAACTCGTTACAACACTAAGACCCTAGCACTTATGAAGCTCTCCACGTCTTCTTCAAGTCTAGTCCTTTGTCACCCGAGATGCACTTCCTTGCTTCCTGATGACTGGCCTTTTAACTGAGCTTCCTTGAAGTATCACCACTTCACTCCAGTTACTTTGGCGTCCTTCTTTAACAAGAAGATAACTTTGAATGGTTTCAAAGAGTTTTCTCCAACGTTCTTCATACAAGATGTGTAGATGAAGGTCTTCAAGTTG